TGCCAACTCCACTCCACAGGAACTCATCCTTAGTCTCCCCACATGTCACAGGAGCACTTCCAGGCCTGCTTCCCTCAAGTACTGAATCATCCCCCAACCCTGGTGCACATGACATGCTCTTCATCCTCCTGCTCGGGCCCCAAAGCCTCTCCCTGTCGGCCTCCGAGTTCAAATGTTTCCTACCCACTCACTCCTTTGCCACATCAAGGAAAGTGCTTGCCCAGCGCCCAGGAAACAGTGGAAGCTGGGGTAACCGGGAAGTCGGGGATGGGAGGGATGCCGCATCTAATCCATGTTAGTGCACCTTCATTCCGTTCCTCCATTTCTGGGTGCATAAAAAAGATACCGAAGCAATCTTTGCTGCTTCAGGATGTGCGGGAAGGACAGTAGGCACAGGTATTTACGTAAAGGACAAGAAGAGAGGTGAAGAAAGGACAGGTGACATCAAGTGTGCGTTGGCCCATCATGTGGCTCTCAATCAGCAACAGTGCTTTGGGGAGTTTCCTGGACGGTAAGAAGGGAAAGCATGTAATGAAATGCAAAATCAGACACACCACGGGAGGAGTGACCACAGATAAGAAATTAGTTCTGTGTCTTTAAGAAACAGTGAGGCATAAATAAGCAAAAACTTTAAGCAAATTAAGGATCACTAATACAAATGTTGTGGCCTTCTCTGATTTTTTGTTATTGTTGCTTGAAAGCCCAATAAATCAGGATTAATGTAGAATTTCTTTGGATGTGTTTATTGAAAGTACCTGAAAATTATTTTAATTAGAAATGGTTTTCCTGGAAACCACCCAAGATCTGGAAAAAGAGCTTACCTATCAAGCCCCAGGAATAAACCTTAATGTTTAACTTTCCAGGAAGCTTTTTTCCCGTGTCTGGAGCCAGCACTGCTCACAATATTTGCTAATAGTCCCTTAATGTTTACTTTACTAGGATACGTTTCCCTTAATGAGGAGTAACAATTATAATATATTCATAGGCACACATAGATAATGCTTGGTTATCTGCGACCATGGGAAATCTAAATAAATGGACAACTGAATAATCAGACCATTTAAGGCCAGTGAAGCCAGTAAGTTCCCAGGACTTAGGTGGTGCACAGCAGGCTACCATTTACATGCTTTCCTCTCCTGCTCAACGTTTGTTTCTGTGAGGGCAGGGACCATACGAAGACCCTATCTGTGTACCCTAGTTGCTGAGCACAATGCACATGGCATAAGCCAAAACTGTTCAAGTGTGTAAACCACTAAGTAAATAAATGAAATTCTTCCTCCGAGAACTTATCACTATCAGTATTGAGTGTAAGGGCTTGCATTATCCTTCCAACTCCCCCACAACTTCCTTTCAGTAAAAATGCCAAAGACAAGATTAGATGATAGGTAATCAAAGAAAGCCAAGGTCTTGGCTGCAGTAAGCCCAACAAAACAGTCACTGCCTAAGTGAACCAACTCCAAGCATTGCTACCTTTAGCAAGTTGATGGGTACATCTTAACCCGAGCATGTAATACCACTTTTCATTAATTTGAAACTGTACTCCCTCCAAGCCCTTCCTAGCTATGACCTTTCAACCTTCCACACTGGGGGGCTTGCAGAGGACACCTCAGGAAGCTCTCCTAGGCTATCGAAGGTGTAGTACGGAGATTCTGTCCCGAAGCTTGGCATCTGGTGATTCTGGAAGCCACCTTAGCTCACAAGGCCGTGGCTTCAGGACCTGCACTGGCAATGCACACAGGGACTGGGGCAGCTCGCTCAACGGGAGACATGCAAGATACGAAAGAGGAATACGGTCCTCCCAGCTCTCCCAAATGGGACCAGTCCTGCTGAACGAAACAGTCTGGAACACAGCCTGGGAGAACCGATCTCTGGTCTTTTATTCCCCTGGACATTCGGGAGGGGCGTCAAAACTATTCAGTACCAGATGAGAGTTTACTAAGGAAGTGTAGCACAAGCCATGATTTCTGCAGACCAGGGGCAATCTCAGGTTCAGAGAGAAGCGGCAGACACTGACCACTGGGAAAAACTTCAAACAACCCAGACAGACTCTCATCAATATTCACAGCTGACGACTACTAAGCAGCAATGTTATCCTCCAGATGCCCTGTTAAGTTCTTTACATACCGTAGCTCATAATCATTGTATTAACTCTATTAGGTAGAAACTATCAGCCCATCTCCCAGGAAAGGAAAATGAGGCTTTGAGGGTTCAGGGACTGCCCTGCTGTGAAAAGCAGAAGGGCATCCCATTTAAGTGAATCTGATATAAAGCCCAATTTCACCTGCAACTTCCTAAGTGCCAGAAAAGGTTCTCCAGATAAAATTTTAGATTGTGGAGTACATTCCAAAATATCCCTTGGAGTGATTTCCTTTAAAAAAAAAAAAAAAGAAAAACCTACAACAGTCCTCCTTCAGGCCTCATGTTATGTATGACAAACTCCAATACCCGCACACCTGAAGTGCTTAAGATTAGCAGCAGACCGCACGTGCTGGTGGAATAAAAACTTTCTTAAAACATTTTTGGGACATAAGCAAGTCATTTTGCTTCCCTACCCCTGTTTTCTCATCTATCAAAAGGACCATTGAGTGAAGCAATGGTCACACTTTCCAGGGAGGCGCTGAGGTTCTCAGGCAATATTGCCGATAACCGATATGAGAGCTTTCCCACAGGCGAGGGGCTGGAAGATGCTGAAACCTGGTACCGTTCTAGGGCCAACCACTGAAGTCTGTGTAAGACGCACAATTTCCCTTTTTGCCAGAGTCAATTATCTGGCCATCTCAGTTGATACAATACTGATTCACTGAAAAAATATTTGAGATGTAATTTGTAAACCGTTTCCAAATCTGATGAAGCAATTTGGCTTCTCTGTTGGTTTGAGTTTACCAAATGCTATGTTCTAGATATAAAGTTAAATTTAAAAGTATGAAAATATGATGACTAAGTCTCTTCCTGAAGCCCTTTCTAATAAAGATATTCTTTTAAGTTTAAACTATTGTTACTCTCCTGTTTATGCTGCTAGATCTTGAATTGTAAAAACTAAATATTTCATTCTCTGTATTTTAAAATACAGATTTCACAAAAGCATTTTTAAAAAACACTTTTTTTTTAAACAAGTTACCTTTTTCATTAGTCCAGACAGAGGAAATATTATCTGGGTTAAGTAAGGGCTTCAGATGTGTCCTACTTCTCAAACTATTGACAGACCTCCACTTCTAAATTTTACATTTTTTGATGTGTGTTTCTTGCTTGACCTGTAGTCTGCTGTGAATACACAAACGAATAGGCAGGCTTCTCTGGAGAAAGATGGGAAGGTAGCTGGGCAGGAATATGGAATTCACTGGGCTAAAACACAGGGTCAGCTGCTTAGTAATCCCCCACTAGGTGCAGGCCCATGAGGCTAAGACTTCTGTGACCTGTATTTTTTGGGTTTAGAGAACACACACAGGTTCCCAATTGACACTTGCAGAATGAATTAGTAAGCTTTCAGCAAGCTTTTCTTAGTGTTTTCTCAATTTGTTAGAGTACTCATTTCTAGTCCACTCCTTTCCAATTACATCCCTTTCTGAGACACTTCCAAACCCAGTTCTCCTAGTTGATAGGATTCCTGATCCTCCATGGAATGGGTTCAACCTGGTATCTACTGGTGGACTTCCTGAACAACCCCGGGAGTTTGGACACACGTGTGCCGCCCCTTGGCAAGGACAGAAGTGGAAGGAGATAAGCTGTTTAATAAACTTGACATTTGATGAAAAAAAGCCTATCAGGTATAAACGTAACTTCTGCTCTGAGCTTATCAACCTCGGCTTTGTGAAGTGCCTGAGACCCAGAAGAATGACTTATTTCACCGAGTTTGCGTTTAATTTCTCCAAATAGGAGGTTACAAGCAAGCCCTCCTCCGTTATTTAATAGTTGTACTTATTCAAAAGATGTTTTACCCTCAGAACCCAGCCACAAAGATCCTGTCTTGTAGTTCAAATTCTAATATGCTGACACGCTAATAAAAACTTTTTAAACAATTCCCTGTTGTTTTTATGTCTATTCCCGAGCTTTATTGAAAGACTCCTTAGCTGCCAAGGCCCACGCCTGCCTCTACTCTCCCGGCGGGAGGGACAAAGAAATCCAAGATGAGAGACGTAACATTGCTCCAAGCGATCCAACTTCATCAGGAACACACAGCTCGCAGCGTGGCTGGGCGGGAGCCTCGTGACACAGGTGACGGCCTTGCCCAGACACGATCCTAAGGCTGTGCCATTAGCACCCCCCTCACACTGTCTTTTTTTTAACTTAAATATGTTTCACCCTTTAGTCATCCATAGATTGAACAATGTAATCTGGACACTGGGATGAACAAAATGAAATTTGTTGAAATAAAAAGCGCGTTGGAGACTCGCCCACAGACGACTCTGGAAACCCGAAGACAAGATGAGGGACATGCGGGAAGGGCATGGTCGTCAGGGTCCTCTGGGCTCCGGGACGACCTATGCCAAACCCGGCGCGGCAAGGACATTGCATCAGGTACTTACTACGGAAACGCTTTCCACTGGCCGAGGAGGTAGTGTCGCTGTCCTTTAAAATTTTTTTGTTGGTTGTACACGGATTTCAAACGCACGACTGATAAGCACTGTGGCAGCACTTGAGCGGCTCGGGCGGCTGTGAACGCGCCCACGGCCAAGCGGCTCCGCACTCGGGACCGGCGCGCTGCCCCTGCGCAGCCCGGCCGCTCGGACCGACCCCTTCGCTGCACGCCCGTGCGGGCCGGGCCACCACCCCTACCCCGCGCACCGCGGAACCCGACAGTCGGAGTGCACAGAGAGGTCTAGCCCCGCTGAGGTCCTGAGGGCAGCCCGGTCCGGTCATCGCAGCCCAACAACAACGTCCGATTTCCGGCACGCCAGACCGGCGATGGGCACCCAGCATGCAAGAGAGCGCGGGGCCGGCCCCGAAGCCGCGGCATCGCCCAGGGCGCGGCGGTGCCCGGAGACCTGCGCCGAGGCACCCACCTCGAGGCGACTCAGGCTGGAGCTCTTGGAGCGCGACTTCCTGCGCAGGTACACCGAGAAGAACCTGCGCACAGTGAACTTCTTCATACCCAGGTCCATCGCCCCGCGCGCAGCCTGAGCAGCCGCGGGGCCAGAGCCCGCGCATCCCCGGCCCTGCCCGGCGGCGGGGTCAGGGCCGGTTGCGGGCGCGCGCAGCGGGGGAACCCGGCGCGGCGGCCATGGGTGCGGCTGCAGGCACAAAGGGCAGGCCGGCCACCGGGCCCGCGCTCCCTCCTCCCGCGCGCCCCGCGCCGCGGGCGAGCTCTAGACCCCGACAGCCCCGGCCAGCCCCGCCCCGCCCCCAGCCGCTCCCGTCAACCGGAGCCCGCCTTCCCGCCCCGCCCTTTACCACTACAGCCAACCAGCGCCCACCGCCCCCAGGCGCTCCCTCCTCCTCCGCGCCGCTGGACCAGCTCCGGAAAGCCCCGCCCTTGTCCCCCCACTATCACCAATCAGCGACCACCGCCGTACCCAGCCACGCCCACCTCCTTGTGCTCCGCCACTATCACCAATCAGCGCCCTCAGCCCCAGGCTCTCCCTCCTCGCTTGGAGTACTCTCCCCTGTAGCCCCACCCCCTCCTCACTGCCAATCAGCGCCCTCGGCAGCGCAGGCCTAATGAGCCCACGGACGACCCCGTGGGGCGAGGTGGTGCGCTGCTCAGCCGCGCCTGGTCAGCCGCTCTCCTTCCTCGGACCTTTTCTAGCTTGCGGATGTCGCTACGCTCTTTCTTAAAACGCTTATACACACTTTTGTATATGCTTTCCTGTGCCGAACAAATCTTTGAATGATTGGCAAGCACTTCTAGGAGCAGGAACAAAACCGGGGGCACCGGGCTTCACGCGCCCACCCCCCCCCCCCACAACCCCCCCCCCCCCCCCCGCCAGGGCGTGATGACTCCTCGACTGCGTCTCTGCAGCCCCGCGCGCCGGGGCCCACCAGACACTCCCCGGGCCAGGCATGGATGCGATCAGGGCGCGGCAGCAGTTGGGGAAGTGATGGGAGAACAAAGACGCATCCGTTTTCCGTGACCTTCGACTCCATATATAGAAAATTATCCAAACGGATGGCTTGTCAGTCTGCACGGGTGCCCCGACGCTGGTTGCCGGCTGCAGGGCTAAGGGGGGGTTGCCTTAAAGGGGTACATTTTTTTTTTCCTAGAAATGCTCAACAGAAGGCTGTAGGCAGTTCCAGATCTGTGAGCTCAAGACTGTCCTTTTCCTGTTTTACTGCTGCGCAGTTTCTATACTTGGAGTTTATGTTCAAAATAGGGTGAATCTCATCCCCCCAGCCCCCCACAAAAAGTCCAGGAGCACTCATGCACGAGGTAATGTGTGACAAGTGCTACCCATGTGCCCAGTAGATTTAAAATTCACATTGTGTCACCCCATTTGGTGCAATCAAAGGTCGCATTAATACCTGTGTAAACAATCTTTGCTAGACCACGTTATCAAAGTGGATGCCCCCAAATAAGAACTAGCACGTTCCTGCTGCACCTGAGTCGAGAGAAGGGTCAGATGAGCTCTCCAGGGTTAAAGGATGCTACAGGCTGTCAGCGGCTTGCAGTTTAGCGTCAGGAAGCTGCCACGCGCTCTCCTTTCCTTGGTGTGCTTAAGCAAACTTACTCGTTTTGTGTTCCCATCTCATGTCGCTGAGATGCAAATACTCTTGTCAAAACTGTTCCTGCTCCCCTCATTGGGAAGACCATCCGCACCCTGGGAACCAACTTCCTACCACCTGGTGTCTCCCCCACCAAGCACCGCCCCCGCCCCCAGGCAGGCATTCAGGCTGTAAGGAAATGCAAAGACAGGTGGGAGCTATGCCATATTGCTCTGGCAGAGAGGACAGCTGATGGACAGGCTGGCCACCAGCCCCCAGGACAGGAGACAGCAGTCAGCTTGACCAGTCTGCACTGTGAAGAGCAGGTTCAAGTGTCAGACAGGAGTATAGTACACCAGCTTCACCAGCTCAGGGGCATCCTGCTTGGAACAGAAGCCTTTGGGTAGGCCTATCAGAGCTTGTTTCACCAAAAAGAGCATTTTGACCTAGTATAACAGGACTGAAAAAGAAACATCTTACAGAACATTCATGATCCTCTTACATTTAAGTTCAATATAAACTGCTCTACGGGACTTGCACATCTCAAAAAAAATCTTTCATATTTCAATTGTGGAATTCATTTCATCACTAGAACAAATCTGTTTGCCTTTGTCCTGGTAAAATAATTACCAAAATTTCTAGCAATTATTTGCTTATACACGCAAATCTTCCAGACAACCAAATCTGAGGTAGGTATCAGGGCCCAGTTTAATCTGGGTCCAATGATGCCCACCAAACACTGGAAAAGGTGAGCTTCGTAAAGGTCGTGCCCAGACAATGGGTGAGGTGGCCTGGAGGGGATGGTGCTCAGCAGTCCCCGGTCATCTCGAGTTTGCCCGTGGTATACACAGTAAGTCTGGGACTGGATTCCACATGCCTGCTGCTGCTTCCAAGGGGGGACTGGACTGGCCAGCATGCACTCAGTTCAGTTCAGCTGCACTGTGCTTGGAATGGGGATGCAAACATGCATGGCTCCCAACCTCCAGAAGTTCTGTCATGCAGAAAAGTAGTGAAGAGAAATATGCTGTTTTCACGTAATGAGGAAGAAGGTAAGAAAATGCTGCGTGAGCAGAGATAAGTGAGAGAATCCAAACTGAAGAAGCCAAGGAGGAGGTGGCATTTGGTGTAACTCCTGGGGACATGGCGATATTTCATGGGACAGGGCAGACAGAAGGAGCAGGGTCCCAGGCTATGAAGAACAAGGTTACTGAGAACTTAGAACAAACAGGATTTCATGACTGATTAATGAAAACCCAAGTTGTTACCAAGCCCCCAAAGATACATGAGGTATACAATTTCAAAACATCAGCACAGTGAGAGCCTGAAATGGCCTGGTCTGTGAGAGACAAAATGCCCTAAACTGGCAGGAAATGGAGGCTTTTGTAAGGAAGGTAACTTTGGCAAACCTGCGCTGCAGCACCTGCCTTCCCCTCCACTGAAAGGCCTGGAAGTGGGCAAGATGCCGCCCTCTTTATTTCAAGCCCCACCGGGAGAGCTGTGATTTGTGGGGACACGGAAGCCTGGGTTTGGCTTCCAGTGGTGAGGGCTGGGAGGACCATCCATTGAGTGGACCTGTCTTTGCAAGACTCATGGGGGGAAAGGGCAAAGGGAAGTTTCTTGCAGGTCAGATGCAAGCTTGGAGGCCTGAGACCCTGCCCTGAGCAGAAGTATGGTACACCCGTCTCAGGGCTGAGGAGGGACCTCCAAGTAACCTCAAACCCAGAGGCCTCTTCCCTCTAAGTGGACTGCAGGATGGGGAGAGGTAAGAGGACAGGGCAGCTCAGAGAGAGAGAAAATCAGGCAGGGCCTAGGGAGCAAGGCCTGCTGGTCAGAAGCAATTGATGTCCTTTCTCCATCCCTTTCTCCTCTCCTGCTCTGACGGCTGGCTTCCAGCATGATAGAAATTCAAGCTGAGCAAAGAGTGTTTGAGTTTGAGCAATTCTTAAAATCTGAAATACTAATTTCCTAACCAAGGACTTAAAATTTAAAGCAAACATGGCTGTCTATTGTCTGAGTGGGAAGAGAAGCTGTGGAAATGGACAGGCTCCTCCTGTGATTCACTGTGACAGATGCCGAAAGGGGTGTTGTGATCCAATCACAAGCCAGGCTGGTCCAACAAACCCATCACAACTAGATGCGGTGAGGAGGAGGAGGAGTCAGAAGGACTCCCTCCAACCTCCTGCCCGGTGTCGGGGGTCTAGCAGGCCTCTGTCCTTAGCATGAGAGCTAACAAAAATAACCCCCTTTGCAGAGCAGGAACTGCGACTGAACATCAGTGCTACACGGAGGGTGGGCAAGGTGCGACCCAGCCCCTGCGCACACACAGCAATCTCCGTGAGATCTGGGCTTTAAAGGATTCCCTCAGACACGGTTCCCAGGGACACACGTCAAGGCACTGAACACCAAGTGTGTAGGGGCCAGTCAGCCCAGCCAGAGTGGCAGTGGATCTCCACGTCAGACACAGGAACTTGGCCTACAGAACGCACCAGAGGCAGCATAGAAAATTATCACATCTAATGTGCTGAAGGAAATAAAAGGAAGAACTGAAAATACAACTAAAGCCCATGAGAGTCTCAAAGTGATGGAGCAGATAGAAAAATGAACAAAATACTTCTGGAAATGAAAGGATGCAGTACCGGACACAAATTCCAGTGGCACATGAATGTACTCTTTGTTAGAGCAAATCTGACAGAGCTGAGAAAGGCGTGCTCTCAGAGTGCTCAGGACACTGCGCCATGAAACACGCATCGCAAAGCAAAACACCGTGCGTTAAATTTCCGTCCACTGTCCTGGCTCTGCCTTGACCTTTGCGGAAACTCACTGGGCCTCGGGAACATGGGTTCTCAACTGAGGGTGACCCTGTGCTCCAGCGGGACATTCGGCAATGTCTGGAGACATGTTTGGGTGTCACAACGCAGGATAGGGGGCAGGAGGGTTCTAGTGGCATCTACTGGGCAGCAGAGATGCTAATGACACCCCACAGCACACAGCCCCTCAAGGGACAACGATGCCATCCCCAAGGCTGAGTGCCGAGCCACCGCACTGTGATTGGAGGTTGGGGGGGAGGAGTTGGGCATCCTTTCCTCACAAGGCTGTTACCTGAAGAATGGCAATGTCATGCACTTAAACCAATATGTGGAAGTGCTCTGTGAACTATAAAGTGCTCAACACAGTTGATGTTTATTAAAATTCTAGACTTTCACACAAAAAAATTAATGGTGTCACTGGTTTAGGAATAGACCTCCAATTCTAGGAATTATCTGAAAGCCCCACTAAATCCCATTGTCTTATGCAGGGCACAGCCACCCACCAACTGCCCAGATCAGAAGGCAGGACTCACCACTCCTGTCACTTCATTCCCCACATTGTACGACAAGACTTGTCAGCAAAGCTCCCTAAATACGGCTCATGCCTCCCTTCCTTCCAGTCCTGTCAGGAACATGGTTTGGGCCCTCAGCAGTTCCGGCCAGAATATGGTCATTACTAGCTAAATGCTGCCCCCACAACTCACCTGCAACCCTGGCACCAAACTGATCTTCCTAGAAGCAGATGGGGTCACACGGCACCCTTGCACGACATCTCATGTCTGCTAGGAGGAAGTGCCCCCAGCAGTGCTGGGCAGCCCCCACGCTGTGCCCTTTGCCTCTCCTCCCTCTGACAGGGAGCGCAGCGGCACCTTTCT